GAGAGACAGCTGGTATCTCAAAAAACTCGTTAGTCGGGACACTCATAAGTCAAGGCCCCACTGTATATTAAAGGGTCGCGGCATTAGGAAGGTTGAGAACCACTAACGGAACCTTTAGCCGCTCTCCCCCAGCCCCTTAGAACCTGGAAGGGAAAGATGAGCCGGCCTCTGGGGAGAAGACCTTTATTGAGAATTTGCTCCATAAATAACTACAGAAAGTGTGTGTGTGTGGGGGGGCGCTCTGCGTGCTGTCTGACATGAGGAATCTTATCTGAAAGAGAGAGGGAGGGAAAGAGAGAGAGACGGGGGGAGAGAGAGAGAGAGAGAAGAGACAGCTGGTATCTCAAAAAACTCGTTAGTCGGGACACTCATAAGTCAAGGCCCCACTGTATATTAAAGGGTCGCGGCATTAGGAAGGTTGAGAACCACTAACGGAACCTTTAGCCGCTCTCCCCCAGCCCCTTAGAACCTGGAAGGGAAAGATGAGCCGGCCTCTGGGGAGAAGACCTTTATTGAGAATTTGCTCCATAAATAACACAGAAAGTGGTGTGTGTGTGGGGGGGCGCTCTGCGTGCTGTCTGACATGAGGAATCTTATCTGGGAGGGAGGGAGGGTAAGAGAGAGAGAGACGGGGGGAGAGAGAGAGAGAGAGAGAGAGAGGGGTGCTAACAGCCCAGGTGTCATGAGGGAGAAACCAGTGGCAGAGAAGTCGGACACTTGGGGGTCACTGGGTCAGAGCTTGCACCACATCCTTCACCAGCATGGTGCCGATCACCATCTTCTCGCTGTTGACGGTCAGCTGGGCGGGGCCGGGGGGCCGCGCGTCCAGGGTCAGCAGGACCAGGCTCCCGCTGGTCAGTGTCCTCCCTGCAAACCTGAGGGGGCCGGAGGGAGGGGCTCAGCCCCTGAGGTCGGCGGCCCTCCTTCAGACCAGGCCCAACAGCCCATCTCCTCCTCGGGGAGGGGCCCAGTACCTGTACTCGTCAGACGTCCCACAAGGGACACGGCCCAGGTTGGCCGTGGCCGTCACTTTCTGCACCACAGTGTGGTCACTCCGACAGCTGTCCGGCAGCGTGAGCTTCTCTGTGATCTCGTTCATGCCCGTCAGCTTTCCTGGGGGCAGAGGTCACGATGAGGGCAGAGGCTGTGATGGGTTCACCTGGGTCTGCCCACGGAGCTTCCTCTCCAAGTTCCCAGCCTGGGCAGGCCTGACTCTCCCTCACAGTCCTCAGGAAGCCTGCGGGGTCTCCCCAGCCCACCCAGGGCTCCATGCATGTTACTGACCGAAGACTCGGTGGCCACTTAGAGCTTTCCTGCACCCTAGACCCCACACCCAACCAAGTTCAAATCCCTCCCGGCTCCTGCGGCTGAGTCCTCACAGAGCACTGTGGCTGCTGCCCTCCTGGCCAAGGCCTGGTCCTCACCAGGCAGCCTCGCAGGTGGACCCTAACCTCACCGGGGGCAGCAGCTCCAGACCTGGCCAGGCGCTCACAGCACCCGGCAACGCCTCACTCGACAGAGCTGACTCTCATGCTCTCAGGCAGCCCTGGGAGCTCCGTGTCCACCCTCCCGCCCACCTTCTCTGCAGCCTCTCTCCTCCCTCTGAGATGCTCCATCCCCTCCAGGCCTGACCAGTGATATTTTCTTGCCCCTGTACCTTAAGCCTCTCCGTGTCCAAGTCTACCTGCTCCTAAGAAGTCCTCTCCAGAAGCCAGATTGCTCATCATGCCAAGGATGTGTCTCCCTTTCAGAGCCCACGACCTCCATAGAGGACTCCCTTTCCTCAGTGGGTCTCCTTCAACCCACGGGGACTGGCCCCTGCCCTTTTGACAGGCCACGCCCCCTTTGGCCCTGCCCCTTTGACCAGCCCCGCCCCCTTCCTCAATGACCTGCTCTCCCCAAGGCTCCTATCTGCTGGCTCTGAAGGTCTTTAAAGCATCTCCCCAGGGCGATCTCACTCACATTCACAGCTTCAGTTCCCACTTCCATGCTTCCTGGGCACAGACCCACATTTCCAGCTGCATACTCAACACCGCCCCCTGAATTTCCCAAACGCATTGCAAAACCAGCTTATCCACAGCTAACCTTGCTCTTCCCACACCCCTCGCCCAAAACCCATTCTTTCTACCAGATCAGGGGTTTGGCAAATTACAGCCTGCAGGCCAAATCCCGCTCCCCACACGGCCCACAAAGCCTAAAATATTGGCTTTATGGCGCATTGCAGAAAAAGCAAAAGCGTGCCGACCCTGGTCTAGGTGAAGGGCACTGCCATTCTCCTTATCATCCAAACCCAAAATTCTAGAACAGCTTCTAGGCCTCCGTCTTCCTGGGGGCCACCCGCCTCGGCCCCTCGCTCCCTTTGTCACGGCTCTAATCCTGGTCCTCACCGTCTCTGGGCAGATCTGTTGCAACAGCCTCATAAATGGTCAGAATGTGGCCCAAGGTCACAGACCAAATGAGTGCAGGTTTGGAACCTAAACCAGGGCCCAGGAAGCCCCGGGCTTCTCCCACGGGGGCTGCCCTGCCTCCTCCAGCTGCTGCAGCTCCTCCCAGCCTCAGTCCTGGCAGAACGCTGCAGCTTCCTCTGTGGGAAGCAGAGGTCTGAACCTGGCCCGCCCTCACTCAGACACCTTCCCTGCCGCCTCTGCCGCCAGGAAGATGAATCCAAGGCCCGCCTCTCTCTAGCAATGGAGCTAGGCCCACCAGCCCCATCCAGCTCTGAAATTCTAGGGCTGAAACCCTTCAGCATCATGTTTGAGGCTTCCGGAAACGAGACTACACATGCCTTCCGCCTCGTTCTCACCACTCCCCTGTGCTGGGGACTCCCGTGTCCTCTTTTCCCTTCCTGGAAACCTTCACCGACACGCACCCGCGATGTTCCCCCAGCTGGAGTGCTTGCTGGCCTAGTGGCGAGGGCCCACTCTCTCCACAGCCTCACTGAAGTGTCCCGGCCCCTGCGGAGCTGCTGCGGAGCCCCCACGGCACGGCCCCCCTGTCTGATGAGCTGAGGATCCCCCGCAGGGCCGTGAGCTGGAGCTGAGGGCCCTAGACTAGTCTAGGGCCTAGAGAGGATGGTGCTGAGTCCCACCCCTGTCCGCCCAGGGCGCACTCACCCTGTTCCTTCTTAAACTCATTCTCACTCATGAACACCGGGGCCATCAGCTCCCCAACAGGTGGCTGAATGGAGACATAGAACTGTCGCACTTGGGTGCTGGGTGGGGGGAGAAGACAGAGGAGGAGGCAGTGAGGCCCATCTCTCCCCTCGCCTCCCACTTTGGGGACAGGGCTTGGGGGCAGCAGGAGAGGGAGGTGAGACCCGAGGGCGTGGGCTGGCTTCCAGACCCTCCACCTCATGACGTACCCCCGGCTGCCACCACCTCCAGCTGCTCTCCACTGTGACCCCACCTCTCCCGGGCCCACCCTCGCCCCCCACCACGAGGCGGACACTCACCACAGCTGGAAGTTGGCCGCCTGGGTGGAGTCACAGAAATTAATGCCCATGACAGCAGTAGCAGACTCTCCAGGTGCCAGGGACTCTGCAGGGGGTGAGGTGGGAGGGGGAGAGGGAGTCTGCGTCCCAGACCCATTCTCCCTCCTCTGACAGAGCCGACCACTCCCAGCTTCCCGCCCCAGGAGAAATCCCATTCCTGGTTTTCTCCTGAAATCTAAACACCCCTCCCCTTCCCCCCACCACACTCTCATCCACGGAAGTCAGTCTTTTTGTTTTGTTAATCCTCACCTGAGGATATTTTTCCCATTGATTTTTAAGGAGAGTAGGAAAAAAAAGGGAAAAACAGAGAAAAACGCATCAATTGGTTGCCTCCTGCATGCACCCCGACCTGGGCCTGGGCCGGGGAGGAGCCTGCAACCAAGGTACGTGCCCTCAACCGGATTCGAACCCGGGACCCTTCGGTCCACAGGCCGATGCTCTATCCACTGAGCCAAACCGGCTAGGGCTGCAGTCAGTCTTGAAGTAACCGAGCCTCAAGCACCCCCTGCCCTGATCAGGACCCCCTCACTTCCTAGCCTGTCTTGCCCACTGGGCGTGGATCATGCTAGACGCCCTCTCTGTGCCCCCAGGGCCTGGCCCCTAGCCCGGCAGGAATGGGGCATCAGAAGCTGCAGAGAGACTGACTGCCCGGGAGCCGCACCGATTTCAGGGAACTCCTGGATGCTGATGCCCGCAGGCAGTTTGGGGGTGCCCACATGCAGGCCCTTGATGGGGGTGTCGGAGCTGTTGGAGAAGTGGATGAGCAGAGACACCATGTGAGGGTCCCCGGAGAAGGGCTGGCGGCTGAAGGTGTAGTCCACAGCCAGGCCCTCGCCCGCCACGCGGTGCAGCAGCTCCTGCCGCCCCACGCCAGACACCGGGCTCAGCAGCTGGACGGGAGGGAGAGGGGGATGGGAGTGAGCAAGGAGCAGCCTGCCCAGCCCTGTCCCCACCGAGGGTCACAGCCAGCACTTTCCCTTCCTTCACCCCCCACACATAGATCCACACCCCAGGACGCAGCACAGAACTGTGGGTCCCATCCCACTCACCGAGGGGACCAGCGGGGAGTCCGTGAGGGTCAGGCCCTCCAGGTCTGCGGCCAGACTGCTGGACACAATCGTGGGGGGAGACACAGGCTGGGCGCTGGGAGGGGTGACTGTGGACAGATGAGGAAGACTGTGGTGAGGAGAGGCAACGTGAAACTGGCCCCAATTAAGCAGGGCTCAGGGAGCAGACGGTTCAGCACCATGGACAGCGGTGCATGTGGCAGCCTGGTGGCTCTAACCACTCTCCACCCCAGCCCCACATTTAGTGCCCTCTCAGGCCTGAAGATGTGTTATTTTTTAAAATATATATGTATATTTTAAATTGATTTCAGAGAGGAAGGAAGAGAGAGAGATAGAAACATCAATGATGAAAGAGAATCATCGATCGGCTGTCTCCTGTACGCCCCCCCACTGGGATCAAGCCCACAACCCAGGCATGTGCCTTGAACAGGAATCAAACCGTGACCTCCTGGTTCATAGGTGGACCCCCCCTCCTGGTTCATGCTCAAGCACTGAGCCACGCTGGCCAGGCTGTCTGCTCTCCCCATGCCCAAGCCCTGAGGACCAGAGCTCCCCCAGACCTTCCTAAGTCCCACTCCCCAGGCCTCCTTCCCCGTGACCTCTACCCCCAAACTCACAGTCCTCGAGATCCAGCAGGGACACCTCCTTGGCTGCAGGGGCGCTTTTGCTGCTGGGAGGCTGCAAGAGAACACGGGGTGTGGGCATGGGAGGCAGTGCCCGGGTACTGGACACACTGAGTGTCCGGAAGGTGGGAGGGCCCTGCCCCTGAGCCCACCCCTCTCGGCCCGACTCTCACCGTCTTCTTCCTCCAGGACACGGGCTCCCCCTGCTCCTCCTCGCTCTCCGACGACACCTCGGACTCTGAGGAGCTGCTGCTGGAATCGCTGCCCTCATCCGAGGACGAGCCTTCTCCTTGTCCCTCCGTCACCTTCTTCCTCTTCTTCCTCTTGCTCTTCTCACCTTCCTCCTCACTCTGTTCACTGGAGGACGGGGGCGGGGGCAGATGGTACTCAGGCCCAGCCTGGGCTCCCACTCCTTGCCTCCCAGAAGAGCGGGGAAGCCCTGAAAAGTGGGGGTGAGGTGGGGAGCCTGGGCCAGTGGGGTCCTGCGCCAGCCCATGCCCGATTGCTTCTCTACGCTGCATCCCTGAGACCTCCTGTGGCTCCTGATAGCAGCCTCAGCGGGAGTGGGCCGGGGTCTGCGTGAGCTGGCCGGGGGTCCGCGGGAGCGGGC